CAATTAAATTAATACAAAGCATTAAAAAAATACCTCAACCATAATCCAAACCACATGATTACAACCCCTTTATGATACCCCATTCATACTATTTAAACCATTTCTATGTGCTAACGCTGAAACCACATCTAGTTATATCTCTTCCTAGTTCCAATTCAAAAATTCGAATATGAAAAAAATTTATCATTTGCTCAATTGCCGGAGTTATATATGTGCCCTGTTTCAATTCTAAAAACGAATTCAAGTTAAATTTTATCTTTTGTTTTTTCTTTGTTGCCGTAATAATGTAAAAATCGTTTTGTGTTTCTTTTCGAACTGACGTCGAGCAGTTGAAGACCGATTTGTATTCGAATTCAAACTAAATATGTCATTTTTATATTTTTTATTAGAATAAATATGCATGAATAAAATAGAAAAAAAGGAAAAGAAAAAAATTTCAAGGATAGAAGAAAAGAAAAAAAAAGGTAGTGAGAATATATGAGTAAAGAACACTAACTACTTGAAAAGATCAGAAGAGATAACTAACTACTTGAGAAGACTGGAAGAGAAAACTACCTATTGGATAGAGTCTGTTAATTTTCATGATGATTGGCGGCAGGATCCCATTTGTAACTGTATGATGTTGCTGTTGTGCCGCCATTCCTATAAAGAAAATAAGACAGTTAGTGCAGTCCCTACAAGGTTAAAATAAACACTATATGGTCATAGCATACCTGATTTAAACATTCTTCAAGTACGCTTCTCACTTCAAAGCAACGATGAAGAAACTTATAGATACGATAAAGCCTACCAGCTGCACGAAAGATACATATCTATATCTATTCAAATGAACCACTCAATTGAAAGCACCCAATGCAATTGCTTACATGCCATACTCTCACAGGACAAATTAATAATTCATGTCCAAATCGTGTCCAAATATTTTCCTCCATCGAAAGAAACAATTTCAAGTTAAGAGGCTGTTCAAGTATAACGTAATCAAATTTTTGGCCATCTTGATCCTCGACCCCTTTGAATAATCAAATGTCATAATTTGCAACCTCCTCTCCCTTGATTACATAATGTTTATAATATTTTCTTAATATATAATTACCGTAAGCATTCACAGCTGTTTGATTAACACGACCATGAGCGGTATAAGCATATAGAGAGAAGCACAGTAGATTTATAAGATGCCACATTTAGATGATAAAATGTAATAAGGAAAGCAAACGGAGTAAGGTTAGTAAGCGAGAAGATAGAAAAAAAGAAAGGAAGGAAAGGAAAGATGAGTGTCGAGGCGAGTACAACCGGTATTGATAAAGGCACAAAAGAGAAAAAAACGCAGTACAAAGCAAGAAAGAGTTTGCCAACACAAAAGGGGAGAAAATTATAATAGTGTCACAATAGTAGAAATTTGAATGAGCGAAAAAAGACACAAAATAGTACGTGTATTCAGCTTCGACTAGGAGAGCTAGAGCTACTCTTTTTATATATTGATTTGTTTTTATTTTGTTGATTTAAACGACAGGCATCACATCAATATTATTGGTGGCACCAAAATCAACATTATTTTTTCTTACTGTTTTACAAATTATTCTGCTGTTGCCACAGAAGCGAACAATTTCAATGATGCTGTTTCACGTACACAAAAATTGAAGCCATTGAAGAAGTAGAGTCTGACACCTTTCACGCATATGTCTAACTCGTTTTATTCGAAAAAAATGTCCCAGGTTATCATTTCTTCTTTTATGAAATGCATCCCAGTAAAATACGTCATTGTAAAAGGGAGAACGACCTAAGTCTGATTTCTCAATTCGTTCTAATCTTTTCTTTATATATGCTTTTATGTACTCTTCTAATGACTTTTCATTTGTTATTTGAAGAAGACCTGTTGCTCTGACAAAGGGACACCGATGAACTATTCTTAATTCGTTTCTAAATTTTCTTAAAAGTAATTCTTTTTGGGTTCTTGGTAGAAATGGATATAGGGGAAATATCCATGCAAAATATGGAAAATTGTAAGCAAAGAAACAGCTTCGCAAGACTTCTTTTGAGAGGGTTTTATGAATCGTTGGCTTTAAGGATATCTTATTTGTCCGAGTAAAACCCAGATATTTGAATTCTTTAACTACTTCTAGTCGTTTATCCTTCATATAGATATCAACTACTGAGTCTTGTACTTGTGAGTGGAAAATGTGCACGACTGTTTTGAACAAATTAACCAGCTGTTTCCATCTCTTGGAATAATCCGCTATTTTATTACATATTTTTGTTCCTTCTTCCTCTAAAAACTTAATCATCTGCTTCATTTCTCGACATATTGGTGAAGATATGAGTACATTGAGATCATCAGCAAATATGTGGCTAGAATGAGCACCTAGACAAACGATAAGATCACAATGGTAGACATCGAATAGATATATGGACTCAAACTACTGCTTTGAGGCAAACCAAAATGAGTGTAAAATATTTTCGATTTATTCTCTCCAAAATTAACCATACTATGGGCTATTTAATTTCAGTCTGAATTTATCAAATAAAAATAATACTTGATTTCAAACTGAAACGTGAGTCTAGGAGTGAGGGGGGGGGGGTGACTGAGGGTGTGGGTGTTGGTCTGGGACCCACACACACACCCACACCCATGGTGCGGGTGTGGGCGCGCGAGTGAGGGTGAGGGTGTGCTTGTGGTTTTGTGTACTATAGGCTTTAGTCCCCTGCACAGGGGACTAAGCGGGGACTAAGCTTTTTGTGGAGGGGACTAAAGGGGACTTTGCAGGACTAGGGGGGACTAAGGGTTTTTAGTGAGACTACGTAGTATCAAGCGAGAAAAGTTTGATTCGGAAGAAATTGGTGTGGTTTTTTGATTTTAGAATTCAGTTTGAAATAAAAAAGCCCATAGACTCAAATTAACATACGTGCGACGATCATTTAATCATGAAATAATTAATTTCAATAGTCCTAAAGGTATACTGAGTCTATTGACCTTAACAGCAAGACCCTTATGCCACACTTTTATCCTATGCCTTCTGATAGTCCACAAATATTGCTAATGTTGGAATATTAGCCGTTAAATTATTTTTTTACTGCCTGATATATTGATAGAACTGTAGTAGAAAGTAGACAACCCGGGCGAAAGTCCGATGTTCAACTGGGACTAATTTATTAGTTTCTGCCCAGTGTCTCACTCTATCTAGCATAGTTTTTTCAAATAACTTTGAATGTGTTGCTAATAGTGAAATTGGCCGTGTCTGATCACAATGAGGTACTCCTGCTTTTAATTTATTCAGTGTAACAGGTTTGGCTAATTTCCAAACATCAGGATATCTGTATTCGTTTAACCAAGTATTAAAATAATTTGCTAAACAACTAATATAACTCGGTGAAATTCGTTTGATCATAAAATTGGACACTGCATCGAAACTAGATGACTTTTTCGGTTTTAACTTTGATATATGCTTTTTTTATCTCTAGAAAATTCGTCGCTTCAATTTGGAGTTCATGCGGATCTGATATATCTGTATTTTGTTCTTTGTACTGTTCAAAATAGTAACGGTAAAGCTCATCACTGATTTCGTTCTCTTTTGTCAATACTGTTTTATCGCTATACAGTTTCGTGAAGGATAGTGATCCATGTTTAGATACTCGAGAGATATATAACCAAAATGCTCTATCCATATTGTCATATATTTCCTGAATTTTTGACAAAAATTCCTGCTATTTACTCGACTTATATTTTGCAATTTCAATTTTTACTTCACGTGTTAACACACGTAACAGCACTCTTGTCTGTTCGTTTGTATGGAATATTTTTTTCTCCCGATCATATTTATTTCTTACTGTTTTTACTTCTTTCAGCTTCTGAATAAGATAAGGGTGTAGTGCTGGTCGGAATTTTTCTTTTTCTATTCATTGTGTAAGTCTATTTTTTAGAGCAGCAAGAAAGTGCACATAGTTCACATACCATTGATCAGCTTTCACCCCTCTATTTTGCTCTTTTATCCAAAATTCCTGTAACAACGTGAGAATGGCTTCATATGCCTTCCAGTGCACATGGGGGAAACATTTTATTCTTATCAAATCCCACATTCTCACAGGTTATCATACAGGCCAGTGATCACTAGTACTCATTTTTAAAGTTTCTCCTCTTGTTTCTCCTATGTTTGTAAACGTTAAATCAATATTTCTGTTCGAACGTTTTGACAAGTGCAATATCGATGGAATGTAACAAAGATTATTTTTCTCCACCCATTCTTTTATGGATGCGTTAAAATCACCAGTAATTATTGTATTTTCAATGATGTATGGCTCTAACTCTTCTAACAACCTGATCTGACCTGCCGGCCGGTTAATAGCGATTATTCCAATTTTCTCAGAAAACTCGTTAACATCAACAATAACTGTGTTTTCAATATTAAAATCTATTCTTGAGCCTGTTAATTGTTTTCCTATGGCTACACATACACCTCGACTTTTATTTGTTCTATGTTGGTGGAAAAGATTGAAATGCGGTATTCGAGATGTATTCCATAACTCGCTAACTTTGGTCAAAACTGATCAGATTCATTGTTCGGAGTATTGTTAGACGCTTTTGACGATTGTTGAGATGGAGCGAGTCGTGGTGGTGGAGATGTACTGCGTTTTTGTCGGGCTGTATAATCCGATTTTAGATGAGATAGTAGTACTTCCAAATCATTGAAGATTTTTTGTAATTGCGATTGTTTTTTTCTTAATCCGGCAACATTGTGATTCATCACCGGCCAAATAAAATCACCAACTATCGATATGAGTGTAGGCATTAATTTTATCACTGTTTCATGATGCAGTTTCGTATCGAGAGCTGTTTGCTCAATCTTGTCATTGATACGTTCTAATTTTTCATCCATACGATGAGTATTATCCTTCATATTTAGAATGTTTTGATTTATCGAGAACAACATTTTTGTTGTATCTTCACTTCCATTCATATTAGTTGTTACTGATGGTTGTGCTGAAACTAGTTTCCATGGAGTAATACGAGACGTAAGCGATGGTAGTGGAGGAAATTCATTTTGCTTCATCTAAAATTGTATCGGCTGAGCACGATCTTGAGGTACTAATCGATGTAATTTGCCAGTTGATATTGCGTTATTAACTTGTTCTCAAGGGGGAAACAGCGAACTTCAAGACTTCAAAAGACTCCATAGGACTTCAAATGACTTCACAAGACTTCAAAAGACTTCTGAAAACTTCAAAAGACTTCTGAAGACTTCATTGGATTTCAAAAGACTCCATGAGACTTCACGGACTTCATGAGACTTCAAAAGACTTTATGAGAATTCATAAGACTTCATAAGACTTCATAAAACTTCATAAAACTTCACAAGACTTCTACAGACTTCACAAAACTTCATCGGACTTCACAAGACTTCGTAAGATTTCAAAAAACTTCACAAGACTTCAAGAGGCAGATTCCATGCGTATCAAAAAAAACTTATAGAAATTAAATGAAACCTCTATAACATGCACAAAAGCTTATCATTAAGTAAGGGTGTCATTTACCATGTACTTTATAATAAATACAAATTACTTATCATTTAATTTACGCGTAAATTAAATGAAAAGTAAATATAAACTGACACTCTCATTCATAACGGAGTAACTAGCGTCTTCCGAGCACTAGGAACAGAATGATATTGATAAAATCAACGTTGAAAATATTATTTTAGCTGCATTTAACCGTGCAAAAGAACTAGTTATTAATTTGAATATATTACCTTCATTAAAGGAATGCAATGCTTGTGAACTTAATGGTTTAAGTAAAAATATATCTGATAGTATTAGATTCAACATTAATTCGGATAATTATTTAGCAACGGATTCAGATTCTTCATCAGATTCTGAATCTGATTATGATGATGAAGCAATGGAAAGTAATGAATTTGATAGTGATCTAATCAATGTGGATGAAGAAGATAAAGATGCGGCAATGACACGAAACTTTGATGAAATTAAAACTGAGAAAATAAATTTTACTGGTATGCGTATATTCGATTCGATTAATCCAGCAATGAAAAACTCCTATTTTCAAGTGCAAATAAATAACAAGACTAAATTTATATACAAGCAAACGGCTTGTTGGTTATTGACCGACAAAGTTAGCCGTTTATCGACTGATAGATTATTACGAGTGATAAAAACAAACAAAAAGGATTGAAAATCTTCATCACATTGATTTGGATAGATGGAAAATTTCTTATAACAATAAACCACTTCATTCAAAAAGCATTCACTTATTAATTATCATGTTTTCTAAGATCAAACAAGCTTGAATTTTTTCCAGTGCATTAAAAAGAAACAATAAAAAGTTCATCTTTCTACTAAAATAAGACCGTCGAAAACAAGACAATTTCATTGATTTCTTGTGAATTTTCATGCATGAAATGTATTTCAAAGCTTTCAGAAGACTTCAAGAGACTTTGAAAGACTTTGAAAGACTTCCAAGACTTCATGAGACTTCAGTCGTGAAGTCTCCGCTGTTTCCCCCTTGCTTATTCTTTTAATTTGAATCGATATTCTGCGTCCTTTTCACATTCATTAGATAACGAATGATGGTGATCATCACATTGAGCACAACGAACCAAATTCGAACAATCATGTGTTTGACCATCAATAAGATTATTAAGACAGATACGACAACGAGGGTGTACCAGATTACATTTATCTCTCATATGACCTAAACGCCAACATCGAGTACAGTATGTCATTCGATTTCCGGCGAGGAAGGGAGTAATAGTGCAGAATGTATTTCCAATCGATATTCGACCTAATTTTAGTGTTGAATTATATTCACATAAATCTTTAACAATAAATCGAAAGTCATTTGTTCTTCATTGAAAATGACACTGAATACGTCTAACATTTTCGACTGATTGAACCATATATTCGTCATTGTACTGGAGGGGTACATAACGAACAACAAGAGCAAAGGAATCGAGAATAAATTTCGGTTTAATTACGGTAATATTAATATTATTGATTTGTGACGGCCATTTATCAGTAGATATTAATGTTGCGTACGACTCTTCGCTGTTTATTCCTAACTTTAATTTATTGCTAGCATGATCAACGAGACAGAACGTTAT